ACGCTCCGGTCGTGCCGAAGATGTATAAGAGGTATGTAGACGACACCTTTACCATCCTCCCACAAGACAAAGTTACTGCTTTCCTAAATCATTTAAATTCAATCCATCCTAATATAAAATTCACAATAGAAACAGAACAAAACAATCAATTAGCATTCTTAGATATTCTAATAATTAAAAACCCAAATGGTACAATCAGTCACTCCGTATATAGAAAACCAACCCATACAGATAGGTACCTAAATGGTAACTCCCACCATCATCCGAGCCAGTTAGCTGCCGTTGGAACCTCTTTGTTTCAGAGAGCACGCGGCATCTGTGACCCCCAACACCTAGATGATGAACTAAAACATGTGAGACGAGTACTCCATGAAAATGACCTGAAACCACCTCGTCAACGTCACAGAAACCGTGCCAAACCATCCACAGTCGAGCGACAACCAGCATACTTACCATACCTAAAGGGTGTAACTGACAAGATAGGCAGAATTCTGAAGCGAGCTTCAATCAAAACCATTTTCAAGCCGCCAAGGAAGATCAGCCAGTACATTAGATCAGTCAAATGCAACATCCCTCTCCAAGATCCTGGTGTTTATAAACTTGACTGTGACTGTGGACTCTCATACATAGGGGAAACAAAGAGGAATGTATCTACACGTCTCAAGGAACATATTGCCGATGTGAGAAACCGTCGTGACAGACAGTCTGCAGTGTGTGAACATGTGATGGATAATCCCACCCATTATATCAGGTTCGACAAGGCTGCAATCCTAGCGAGAGAGAAGAGATTTGTCCCTAGGAAGGTACGGGAAGCCATAGAAATTCAAAAACATCCGAATTTCAACCGAGACACTGGATGGGGCATCTCACCAACTTGACTCCACTGATCACACAGCGGAAGAACCAAAACCAACATACTGCAAGACCAACTTCACAAGACACGGTGTCTGCATTCTGCGTACAACCGGAACGTTATGCTAGGCAATTAAGAAATAGATGGCGGTAGAACAAAAATAATTTTAAATTCTAAATAATGACGTCTAACACCTTAGTCATCCGTGACCACGGGCACTGCAAAGTGTCCGAAACGTCGGGTTAATTACAATCCTAAATAAAATACAACTAAAATCCGTTGAAGTTGTTTTAATTAAAAAGAAAATTGGTAATATATTTCTTTTTTACATAGCATAAGTTGATTATTACGACGTTAATTCAATTTATTAAATAAAAGATCAAAGGTTCCTACACAGAAATTGTGCCGTTTCATAGTACCCCATAGTATGTTTCACTGTACCCCAGATACGGGGCACTGTGAAACAAGTTCCCGATGTCACTAAAATGTCATTTATCTTTACAGTCCAGAAAGTTTTATGGGGGTTTCGATTTTTTTTATAAGAACAGTTAATTACTGATTATTTTGGTACCAAATTTGATTCGATACAATTAAGAGGGATCTATAGTCATTATTTTTCATACAAACGCTTTCAACGTATCCCTCTGCCAGTTCGCAACCGATCGACACAATTTTTGGCACGGTAACTCTTCTGGACTAGATCTATGCTCCATATTCTTTTTCTGGTTGTAATAATGCATTTAAAAAAAGATATGACCGTGGCAAAATGCTCTAAAATTGTCACCAAGTTTACGCCTTGGTATCTTTTAAATGTGACAATAATTTCAGCGAAACAAATGATACGGGCATAGAATATTTCATTGGCAGCAAAATAATGCCACTATCAATAAATTTGGTGGCGATTTCGAACGGGGAACCTGGTAAACCCAGAACTCAAATTTTCCGGTAGCGAACTATAACTGTCTCTTTTACGGCTGCGGGACGGGTGGGATGCATAAATGAGATAGAAGTATTTTTATCAACTGACAGCTCACGATCTTTCAGCTGGGTATAGTAGCCTCTTAACGGTTCACGAGATACGAAGCATTTTAACTTTTTCGTTTCATAGTGCCCCACCTTACCCTACCTATTGCAATTTTAGGCGACAGGCTGACAACCCGACACTAGGGTGATACACAGTCTTCCGAATGACTCAAACTTTTGTCAGACGTGGTGTAGATGTCCGTTTTTACAGCCGTTTACGGTCTGCGTACCCCGCAATGGATAAAAGCGTGATATATGTAAGTCTATGTACTTATAGCTTAATACACAGGATCTTATGACAGCACTGTATCGGTAGGAGAGAATGTTTAAAAAAAACATAGGGAAAGTCAAGCTTTATTCATTGTAGTCGGCATTTTAGTTATTACAACCTGTTACATAACTAACCAAAAAAAAGAATATTTTTCATTTTCATCAGTCGATAAAATAATGACATCACTATTATATGTCAGGTGCTACACTACCTGGCGAACAAAGTCCGCTTCGGCATACATTGCTGGTTGACTTAGTTTCTTGTATTGATGACATTCATGTAATAGCCAGCAATGTAGACCGAACTGCGTTTCGCCGCGTCGGGAACTTCATTTGAACTTTGAGCTGTCAAAATTAGTGCTGCGATGCCACGATTAAAAATAAGTGTAATTTAATAAAAAAATATTTTTTTCGTAGTTTTCATAAACGATACTACGGCTCTAATATTTTGTTAATTGACCCTTTGCAACGGACCTTTCCACACCCTTTCAGCTTTATTGGTTGTTTTGTAACACGTTGTATTTAGTAAGCTTTATGAGAAACGTGTTAGAATTAAGACGTATATCATTTTGTTAAGGTACAGGAAATCAATAAAAATGTTATCGTATATTAGATGTAAAGACGTAATAATTAGGAATTTTAATATCATTAACATTTTTACATGTATGAGTAAAGCTTTGTATTTCTGTCTGTCAGTTCAGTACCCCATTCAAGGTTTGATAACTAAACTGATATTGATAAAGTTAGGTATATGTAGATAACTATACAAAGGGGAAATCGTAATGCTCCAGACCAAAATTCAGGATTTCTTTTACCATTGTAACTTGTCTTTTATTCTGATCAAAATAATATATTCGTAAATAAAACTGCGCGACAACGACAAGACAACAAAACACGTAAGTATTGCAAAAACAAGTTTAACTAGCAATTTTTTATATAATTTTAGAAGATTTAAAGTAGGAAGTTACAATTTAATTACTTTACCGTGACTAACACAAAACTTGGCTTTAATTAACACTCAATAATTTAAATATTGTTCTAGAACTAAGACTACTATCTACATGTGAAAACAAAATTTAAATTTTGACAATATCCACGACAGTTTTCTGCAGTGCTCCTGGTGAGTTAGAAGCGTAAAACCTTGTTTAAAACTTATCAGAAAACATCCATTAATCAAAATCATACCCAATACTGAAAACCGCATTATAATCGGACTAGTGGGTTTGAAGATAATTGGGAACATTGATTGGCACAAACAAAATATGTTTATTGCAGCGCCCCCTGGTAAGTTGTTCGCGTAATACCTATCTAAGAACATGCACCAGTAAAATCCAAATCCATCACTGAAAACCGCATCAAAATCGGACTAGTGGTTTGGTAGATATTTGGTAACATAAGTTTGCACACACAAACAAACACACATTCTCTCACCCCAAACGCATATACCGTCTCCGTTCCGTCGTGGGTAAAAATATCGAGGTACCTACCTAAATATCACAACTGACGTACTTACTACCTTATATCCCTTAACTTCACTTAAGGGTTTTCCCTTACCAAGAAATCAGATGCATAATTAATATAAGTAACTAATAGGTCATTTCCCGTCCGAACAGTAGGTAGGTAGGTAGGTACAAAATAAAACCTTGGACTTAAGGAAAGTAGTCTATCTGGTACTGTACTGTATAGACCGGTCCTACGTGGGTCGAGTCCCGTTTAGTCATAGTTGTATTTCGTGATGGTTTCAATTGGTCCTCATAAAAAAAATATAAGTTCTTTGAAAAGTTAGGCTCTAAGATAATACAGGGTGTCCCGGTTATATTATTATTATTAATAGCCTATAGTGTCCCACTACTGTCCTGGTTATAGTGAAAGAAAAAATCTAGACTTACAACATCCTAAGCTACAATAAAACAAAAAAAAACAACATTTGAAGAAAAAAAATTGGATTTCCCACACAAAATGCTATCAATATCAGGCAGGCAGCAAAATTAGTGTGGGAGGTCCATATTTTCCTTCAAATATTGAACATTTTTTTTGCTATTATGGTAGCTTAGGATGTCCAATCTAGATTTTTTCTTTGGACCACCATACCCGGGACACCCTGTATACAGCATTGTCCAAGGACTCACGTCTTAAGAAAAAATATAACTCCCCTATACTGAGAGAATACTAGTAGGTACTTATACTGAGTGATACACCACTATGTATGTTACGAGATTATATGTAGTTTCCTAGTTATTCAACTTTTAAAGTTGTATGTAAAAAAAACTAATGGGCTAGCAATTTTATTTTTATTTTGTGCGCAAATACTAGTTACATACCATTAATTGAATTGAAATGAAATATGAATTAATTATTAGTTAATTAGATATAGAAATATGGTCGTTGGTGGGACGAAATGAAACTAAGACGAATGTGGAAAGATCCGATACTTTGCTGTTTGCAGATTCTAGAATTACTAGACGCGCAAAGTAGGTACTCGTTAGTTTTATTCATGAAGGTAAAATACGATTTCCGCTCGAAAAGTTCAAATTATATTGAACTGAGATGTCAAGAATGCAGTAGTTGTACTTAAACTAGTTAAAAACAGGCTTTAGGTTTAAATACATATCTTGGTAAACACTAGTCAAAATTAAATACCTACCTATCCACATTACCAAGAAAATTCAGTTTTTTGAAACTAATTAATTATTATTATATCAGCCTAGATACTGTCCCACTGCTGGGCAAAGGCCTCCTTTTTCTTTTTTGAAAACTCGTAAAAATTTCCACCGCAGGCAGTATTTGAACCTGCGACCTTCGGCATCTATACTGCCTTAAGATTATACTTGCTTAATTCACAGGCTAGGATAGAACCGTGGTAGCCCAGTTGGTAGTGGCGTCGGCAGTACAGATGCCAAAGGTCGCATCGCAGGTTGAAATCCTGCCTGCGGTGGAAAAATTTGTAAACCATAAATTGTATAACTACCTAACACGGGAAGTGTTTTAAAATTATGTATTTAAGTAAATTCATTGTTGATTTTTGAATAAATTTTGTGTACTTAGTAAGAATCCGGGGTCGGGTCGTTCGTACACTTCGTGTCCTACACGACATTAGTGAGATGGAAGTGACTGCCACTTTTACACTAGCTACACGGCTGCCTACAATATGTCCTCCGAAACACGGAACCATCTTACGTCATATCGGTACTTCAATCTGCAATTTCCTAACCAAACTAAAAACTCACAAAGTTATAAATATCAAAACTTGTGTTCCTCGAAAAACTGATCTAGATCTTGAGACCCCAAACCGTTAGACGAATGAGACATTTGAGTATTTGCTAAGTATTCGGCACCACCACTCATCGATCATGATATATCTGATGATTTAACCATTTTAACCGATTGCGCCGATAATGCAAAGGTTATGTACCAATGTCGGTATTAAGTACATTATATGGCATTACAGATTCGATCCGAGACGATAATGCCTGGGAATTATTTGAAGGTTTTGTTTGAAACTGGTTTCTGAGGTTAATATACTCGTAGGTACGGTTCTTATACCTACTAAGTACGAATATCACTGATTATGATGAGTGAACCATAACTTTTTTAAAGCAGAAACAGGAATTTTTTGCTATATTATCCTGGGATTTCCTCACTTCTTTCCACTAGTCCAACGACCCGATGAACTCTGGTGTCAAAGTTTTTCAACCGCCTGCTCCAAGTAGCAGGCCTCTGACATGGTTGGGGTTAGACCGCCGTCTAAGTAATCATAGAGAGCAAACGGGAAAGACGGCTTAACGTGTCCTCCGAAGCACGGAACCATTTTGCTTTTGGACAATCAGGTGGTTCAGCCTGCAGTGTCCTAACCAGACTGGAAACAAATTCACAAAGTGATAAATATCAACATAGCGAAGTGATCCACCGGAATCGAAGCCGAAACTTTCTGCGTTACAGGCAGTCGTACTACCGCTGTGCCGCCTCTGCTGTTATCAGATTTCCAGTGTCGGGGTAGCATAGCATACAAAACACACTCACAAAGAATATAGGTATTAGGTACAGAACAGACCCGAGAATCAAACGGGTCCGGCCGTTATGCCCCCTAACCCCGATGCCCCCGGCCACAATGCCCCCGTATCGAAAAAAAGGCACTTGATGAAGTACTGTTGTCCTGGTCAGGAATCGAACCAACGACCTTTGCATAGTTCATCGGGTCGTTTATCGACTCGGTGTCATACATCTGATCTTTCTTGTTGGTCATGAAACTGAATTCTAAGAATTAGTTTTAAGACTATGTCTGTTTACGCGCTGTCCCGCAAGAGATATCTATACGCGTGATGTGTATAGTTAGTACGTTTATCAGTCAACAAGGTACCCTAATAGTGTTAAACGACACCATATTATATTCCAGACTCAAATTCTAATTCCGACAAGCTAGAATTACTAAAGTATCAAATGTTAGTTGCCTAACTAGGATACCCAATCAGTCATAAAAGGTCACGCTTAATTCTCAGATAGTATCAGGTAGTTAATCCCTTCATTCTATGATGGTGAAAATATCAGCTGGTGGTATTATGGATTTAGTTGCTCTTGACCCTGATTTGGGCTAAATGACTACTACATTTTATGTCTCATGCAAACACTAGAAAAAAAATATGTTAGATTGAAGTATTTTGCCGAGTGATGCCAGTTTTAATAGCTTCACCCCACTTTTTCCCCGTGGGTTTCGTAAGAGGATAATTTGGGCATTTAAGGGATTGCTTCACAAACTTTACGCGATAGGTTGCTTTATCTATTCTTTGATGCAGTTTGTCAGACGTGGTGTAAATGGCCGTTTTAACACCCGTTTACGCTCTGCCTACCCCGCAAGGGATATAGGCGTGACATATGTATGTTGTATTGATAGAATGATATACCATTTTCTGAATATGAACGATTTACATCCGTTTACGCTTAGCCTATCCCGTTAGGAATAAAGGCGTGATTTGTGTAGGTCATCATCATCATTGGCCTCATACGTCAGTGATAGACGATTTATTCAGTGTCTGAGGCAAGATTTTTCATGGCTGTATAAGCCGATACGGGATCGGCATGACTTTCCGCACGCTCTACAAATGAAGGTGGAATTGGAAACTGGCACATGCATGCATGTTTAGATGTCGCTTTTGCCTTTTGTTTGCGAGACCAGCGAACCAGGCATCATCGTGAGCTTTACGCCCATCAAACACACGCATTCTCCATTCATCCCTATTCTCAGCAAGCTTCTCCTAGCTTTGATGGTCGATGTCAAACGCAGCCTAGCCTATCCCGCTAGGATCAAAGGCGTGATTCGTGTAGGTATGTATGTAGAAAGGCGTTGAATCATTGACAGCGTACAATGACAGCAATAAGGTCAACTTGTACAGTAGTTCAGATACTCTATTTAGGTACGGCATGGCAGTGGGTGTTAATATCTTGTCATACCGGATACGGATACTAAGGTTGTGAAGTATCAGCAGCACCTCTAGTTGCCTATTTAAGGGTCAACCTATACCTAAAGTAAGGCCAACCTAACGAGATAAAAAGTGTAAACAAATCTGAAAGAGAAAGCTGACATTATACCATATTTATGACAGATAAGGACAGATTGTAATAACTGTCACCTAGTCATACAAAAGTTGTTTACATTAATTATCTCTCTAAGGGTCAACCTATACCTAAAGTAAGGCCAACCAGACGAGATAAAAAGTGTAAACAAATCTGAAAGAGACAGCTGACATTAAACCATATGACAGATTAGGACAGATTGTAATAACTGTCACCTAGTCATACAAAAGTTGTTTACATTAATTATCTCGTTTTGTTGGCCATACTTTACAGGGTTTTTGTTTACCTACAGATGAAGGGAGTTCATTAAGTCTTCTTCTTCCTCGAGTGGGACACCAAGTAGTCCAACGACCCGATAAGATAAACCCTGGTGTCAAAGTTTTTTCAACCGCCTATTCTATTAATTTTGATAAAACGATGTTATTCATAGTAACCACGCAGAAAGGTCTTCACTATTTGATATGGGCTACTATTCTACAAAGGGTATTACAAGCCGAAAAAATTTGGACCTCCCATATTAAATCAGTCAGCTGATCAGCGATTTTGTATGGGAGGTCCAATTTTTTTTCATATTTGTACCCATGTTCCATGGGGAAAGTTGTTCAGTTTCATGAGTACCTCCACCTCCTTTCGGCTTGTAATACCCTTTCTGTTACTCCCGGTATATGTCATCCCATCCATCATCTTCAGGCCCTTATCCGAAATCAATTGGGGTCGGCGCAACATGATTTTTTAGAACACAAAATCTTGTAGCAAAATGATTTGCCTATCTTTTCACCTTTTGTTAGAACACAAAATCTTGAAGCAAAAGGATTTGCCTATCTTTTCACCTTTTGTTAGAACACAAAATCTTGTAGTAAAAGGATTTGCCTATCTTTTCACCTTTTGGTAGAACACAAAATCTTGTAGCAAAAGGATTTGCCTATCTTTTCACCTTTTGTTAGAACAAAAAATCTTGTAGCAAAAGGATTTGCCTATCTTTTCACATTTTGTTAGAACACAAAATCTTGTAGCAAAAGGATTTGCCTATCTTTTCACATTTTGTTAGAACACAAAATCTTGTAGCAAAAGGATTTGCCTATCTTTTCACCTTTTCATAGCAGCCCATGAAGCTGCACAACTTTTTTCGAGGAATAAACATCGACCAAATGAGTATGACGCATTTTGAATGGAAAGTCCATATTTTTTATTCATATTAATATCTTCGTAAAAAGTTGTCCACTTTCATGAGTTCTTTTACCCTTTGAAACTATTTACGAATTTTTTACATGCTGTAAATTCATCTTAGGCTACTCTAAGTACTGCCGATAGTACCAAGAACTAATTATTAGTATCCGGTAGAGCAAGTTCGTACGACTAGTTCTGATAAGGAACTCTCAAAATAGATTTTAGGACTTATGATTCTAGTTTAGCCTAGCTTTAAGGCCTACGTACATTGTGAATTATAATATCAAGGCAGTAATTTAGCAGAAATATAGGTAGTTAACAGAATTAGTCCCACATATTTTAATTATTTAAAATATGGGAGTAACGGAGCCATGTGGTGCCGGCAGAGTAGAATAGCACCACCCCCTCTCTTCTCGTGGGGGTCGTAAGAGGCGACCGAGGGATAAACACGACCCAAACAGCTAGGGCCAACCGTATGGTGGCGATTAATCCACCACAAAAGCCTTCTCAAGGAGAGTTGACGTCTGGTAGGTGGCCGGTCGTAAAATTCAGCCAAATCCTTTTGCAACACGACTTTGTGTTCAACGAAACGTGTTGCGCCGACCCCAAGCAATTGGGATAAGGGCAGGAAGATGATGATGATTTTAATTATTTAGTTCTGCTAAATTGTTTTTCATACTTCGACCTACTTTCTGAGAGAAATAAAAAAAGCAAAAACAAAAGAATAACCCGAAGATAGACACGCCTAAATTTAATCAAAAAACAAAAAGAAACAAATGACTTCCAAAAAAATCTTAATCACACCCGGTAATTTGGACACGGATAACAGAGTTAAACCTTATTAACTTAAACTACAATTAACGAGCCCGTGTTTAACTCTGACGAAATAACCACAAATATAAACCATCTATCACTCGGTAAAGACTTAACTACGTGAAAAATGTAAAGTTATTTGGAAAACAGAAAACCCGACAGCAGTTTTGTTTACATGCAAGTAACTTTATTATGTCCTGATGAAAAGAAGCCACCTTAAATAGTAGGAAATAGTAGAAAACTCAAAATACGGCGTGGGCTAGCAGATACATGAAATGTACACATAATATATCCCTATATAGCATGTAATGAAAAAAAAAGTTTGCTGTCATGCAAAATGAGCTCAAAATACGGCGTGGGCTAGCACATGATTGTACACCAATATCC